TCTTGCTTATTTCTGATTTAAAAACAAGTATTAGTTGTCTCTACAAATGTTTCAGGAGAGTGGTGGCAATAAAAGTCAGAATGTAAGAAATAATGACATTTAATAGTGAAATTATATTGAACAATCTTTTCAGAAAGCACTTTAGAATTTCACAGTGCTTTCAAACACCAATATGTTTGTTGAATGACTATAAGACCTTTGGGCCCTTAGCTTACATCCTAGATATGGGATATTAAAGTTTTTGCAACACCACTGCTTTCTTAATTTATTCTCCATGAGTTCTATCAATGTGTACGTATGCTACCACTCCTGCCCAGCTGTCCTTGACTCCACAGAGAAAGTGAATGATAGGTACCTAAATTCTCAATCACTTTTTTTAAAGCCTGCCTGTCTATGGACATCGGTGGAGTGGTTTTGGAATTTTAAGGGTTACCTTGTTGAAGTGGTCTCCGATCACGTGCCATATCCGGGACCACTGCAGTCGGATCCGGTTCATGTTGTAGTACGAGATCTCCACAATCTTCTGCAGGCTGAACATGCGGGGGTGGTGGGGGGAAGCCAACTCATCCATGGACACGGCGCAAAGCCAGCGGACAAAGTCAACTGCAGGCCAGACCCAACGATACATGCAAGGCCTCGTTAGTGACGGCCAGGCAGTCACAACGTGAAGCTTCTGCAGTGGTCACAGGGGAGTCAAATACGTACCTATTGCGTTTCCATCCAGTCTCGTAGATCCAGTAAAAATTCTAGAGGGTAAATTTCAGACATCAAAAAATAAAAATTAGATTTGGAAGCCTAGTTTCAATTTCAAACACTGAGACAAGGGAGAAAGGAAACATGTCAGGGCTGGTGCCTCCACTTTAAAACAAGTGACGAGGCATCGGGGGTACAGAACCGGCCTACAAGCTGAGCTGAGAACAGAAACACCTACGCTGACAGAGAAAGTGACACCTCGGAAGGAGGGGGAGGGGTCAAAACATAATAGCACGTGATGTCACGACAGAGGGAGGGACAGAGTGAGAACCTCCAAAAAGCTGTTCTTCCGTGCGAGCAATAAAATAACTGGTGAGAAAACACCAAAGTCCACGCTTCCAGAACTTAGCTTTGGAATTACCAAAGGCTTGTAAAAATGTTTCATGTAAGAAAAACAGCTGGAACTCAGTAACACTGTGAACACTGTGGCATTTTAAACTTGACATAATTTGGTCATATTTGGTTGCGATTTTCTGGAAAAGGTTTTGAGGGCCAACTTCAGACGATTGTGAAAGCTCTCAGCAGTTGGGGATCACACGCACCACGCTGACCTTTCTCAGTCTGAGTGACCCGGACCTGACACCATTTACAGTCATCCAACATGTTAGGAGCCATTCACCTAGTGACTGCACAGAGAGAGCAGTGATTTTCAACCATCGCGTCACAAGAATTTTTAAACCATGCAATATCTGACTATTTGGTCAGAGGCACTGACCTCTTTTCCTTAGACTGTCAAATTAAAAAATAAAAACAGTCAACACAACAACAGCTGTCCCGTGTGAACGAATCAAAATTATATCTAGTTTTTTGTCATAACAGCAAAAAAATATATTTTTTGGTGTGTTGCAGAATTTTAGTAGTTTGTGTGTGCCATGAGATGAAAAAGGTTGAAAATTGCCCGGACTGGTATTTCTCAGTGGGTTGAGCATTGCCCTGCACATTGAAAGGTCACTGGTTGGATTCCCTATTAGGGCACATGCTTGGGTTGGGGGCCAGATCCCTGGTTGAGGGCGAGCAAGAGGCAACTGATCAATGATTCTCTTGAACAATGATGTTTTTCTCCCTTTCTCATTCCCTTTGCCTCTCTCTAAAAATAAATAAATAAAATTAAAAAGAAAAAAAAAGAAAGAAAACGGTTGAAAATCGATGACAGAGAGGACGCCAAGCCCCTGGGTAGTCCAGTTCCCTGGAGAACACAATCATTACCTGTCTACAGCCACGACCACACTCTGCGAGCTGGTCTCCCCAACCGACTCCTGGAAACTGGCCATCTGTCTCTTGTCCACTCCGCCACTCACCAGGTTACCTGAAACACAGCGCACAGTCAACAGTGCTTCCCAGACAGTCAGGTATTCAGAGCAAAGTACCCCGAGACATCGACATGCACACAAGAGACAGAAATGAGAATGGTCTGTAGGCGAAAAACCCTTCTTCTGATGACGGAATAAAACTGAACTGGGGTTTTGGCATTTAGCTTTTAAAATACATTGTTATGACAATTTCCCTGGCCTGTATCAACCATCTCCCTTTCTTGACAGACTTCTACATTTCTATAGTATTCAATGCCCACATTAAGGAAAACAAATCTGAATCAATGGACACAACCCAGAGCTCCTAGAAAACGTGATGGTTCACACCTGCTGAACGTTCAGCGTAACGTTCCAGGACATCACCCCAGTCACCCTCACACTCTCCCCAGAAAGTAGGTGCTACTACACGCCCCCACTTTCGTCGAGTCCAGGCCTCTAACCGTTACCCAGTACTGTTCCCACCACGCTGTGCACAACCCAGGAGCCTACTCTCTGCAATCAGACGGCCTGCGTTTGACACCTACCTCTGCCGCTTGCTTGCAGTGCGGCCTTGCTCTAGTCCACAGGTGGCAAACACAAGGCCTGCAGGCCGAATCCGGCCGGCACCTTGTGTCTACCCGGCGGCAGTGCTGAGCTCTCACTGACTGTTCAGGAGTAGTTAGTTAACATGTGTACAGCCCTAAAATTACATCCGGCCCTTTGACGGCAACCGCGAGGCCAATGTGACCCCCAGTGAAAATGAGCTTGACACCCCTGCTCTAGTCAGTTCAGCCCTGTACCTCACTTTCCTCACTTACAAAATGGGGATAATAGTCCCCATCTCACTGAGTTGTCACAAGGAGTAAATGAGTTAAAAATGTACAAACTGAGAGCTCGGAACGTGGCTGGGCACATCTGTCTGCCCACTTTGCTAATGGGCAGTATCATTGCAAGAGTCTCTCAATCCAGCAGAGCCAGGAATGATTCTACTTTTGTACGAATGCTGTTTAAAAAGCCATCCAAATGAACATGGAAGAGGCTGACACTACCCTCTAAAATCTGGAGATAAACATACCCATCCCTCTAACAGCTGTAGCCTTTCTAAGGTGGCTTCCCCCCTAGCTTTATGCACAGAGCAAAGTCATGCACCCTGCTGCTGCCGAGAAAACCGGCGTTCACTTGACAGTTCATCACAACTAGACTGCTGAAGCAGCACTTCCATTAATAACCGCACGCCCTCGGCTGGCACAGGAGGAGAACGGTTTACGCGACAGTCCTGATGAGACAGGAAGTGCTTCGTCCCAGCTAACCCGGGAGCCCCTGCCGGGCAGCCGTGGCTGGGGCCTGGCGTCTTACCGAGGCCGAGGCCCATGAACTCTTCTCCCGCCAACGTGTAGCCCTTCAGGCTTCCTTCTCTTTCACGCCCAGCCCCGGACAGGTAGCGTGTCTTCACACCAGTCCCTATGAGCTGGGCGAGCTCCAGCTGGCTGATGCATTTCAAGATCTAGTGAAAAGAAGGCATGAAGAAATGAGTTCCCATTTTATAGCCTGAAAAGGGCACCATGATCTTAAATTAGTCATTAGAGAGTTCTTTTAAACACACAGCTGCTCAGGGAAGAGTAAAATCTGAGTCTTAGGATGGTTTCCCTAGTCCCTGAGTGTGGGTATAGATGACAGTCTTCACTTAAAAAAGTCCCCCAAAACCTATTAAGAAGGGAGAGAGAAAATAAGCAAAAGAAAAGCTGGCACAATGGAGTCACATGATATCAATGTTTAATTATGCAAATTTAGTAAGTGCTCAAGACAGAAAGGAAAGATACTTGACTAGAGAAGGAGACTCCACCTACCATGCCACTCAGAGTGCGCCAGCTAACCTGACTCAGCCACCTCCACCTCCCTTCCCCCCTGCATAGCGCACTAGCCTGTCTGCAGTTCCTTTAACCTGATGTATCTGGTCCTGCCCCAGGGCCTTTACGCTTGCTGTTCCTTATGCCTTTCCCCATGGCTCACTCCTTCCGACTCCCAGCTCAGGAATGTGTCCCTCAGAGAGACCCGCTCTGACCACTCCGAGACCACACACCCTCCCCTGGTCACACATTTTGGTATTATGCCAAGTAATTATTTGTTCTCTGTCTTTAGTGCCACCAGGACATTACCTCCTTGCTCACTACTGGCTCCCCAGCACTTAACACAGTGGGCAGCTACTGCCTGGTCACCTGAGTGGAGGAGCACGTGCCCTAGAAGGAGTGTGCAGTGGGAGGCAAGGCGGCCTCACAGCCCTGGGGGTGGTCCGCCGTGAGCACACACTCCTGCACACAAGCTCTCTCTCACTGGGCGCTGGCCCGAGGACGCAGAAGCTGGTCTCCACTTCTGCTGGAGGCAAAACCAGCTGCAGGAAACCCACTGAGAGACGGCACACGGATGTCTGGGCGAAGCCTTCCCAGGCAGTTTTCAGGGGACCCCTGACTAAAGCTGGGTTTTGCCGTTCGTGCTGATCTGCAATCCAGTCCCAGACTATGGGACTCGACCATCCACTGAGCACCACTGAGTATCTCATAGACTGCCTTCCTCTTGACTGAGAAAAGTACTTCATTTTTACAAAAAAAAAGCCATCCCCTGATTGGCCCACACAGTATGCTATTTAATTATCACTAGTAAACTATTAATACCCTTCCTTTTCCAGAAGCTGGGGGTACGCCTACCTCGAGGTCAGCAATACAAGGCCAAAAACGTACTGGTTCCACCCTGATTTCTCAAGGTTTCTGACCGTCAAACAGGTGGCTGACTCACGTGCAGTGTCTCCGGGCCCTGCTGTACACGTGGTACCCAGCAGGAACCCCACACACATCATACCTCTCAGGCTAAAGAAGTTTGAGGAGAGAAAGCAGCTGTTCGTTGAGTCACTAGGTATTGTAACTCCTCAGAAGAAGTTATTTCTTTAAAAAAGAACCCAACTAACGGTCATTACCAAGGCTTTTAGAATGCAGTTTCTCATTTGCCATGGACATGACCACAAAAATATTTTTCCACTAGGTTTTTTCCTGCTATATTGCTAGCATTCAGTCTATTGGGAACATTTTATAAATTAAAAAAATAAAAGCTCCCAATTCCATAAAAATAACAACGTCCCTCCTCCACCTTTTCTAACATGGAATGCTCCGGGGTTGTGACAGAGGAAGGAGAGGCTGGGTGCGCAGGGACCAAGGTCCAGCCATGAGGACCATGCTGACAGCTGACAACTACTGAGCCCGGGGCACCTGCCACACCTAGCCCGAAGCCCTTCCCTGCCAGGTAACTCCTCTCACGCTCACAGCAACCCCGTGAGCCACAGAGAGAGAACGGTGCAGCCCACAGGCTACGTAACCTGCCCATCCCCGCAGGCAGGAGCAGTGGATCCGAGACCAGACCCCGGGGGTCTGGCTCCAGGCCTTTCCACGCCACCACCCAATCCTGGTGCAGGAGGGGGACATGGGGCTGACAGCAGTTTTCGTTTTTGGCATCACAGTCCCCACCGTTCTCAATACCCTCACCTCTACTCCTCAGTTTTCTTCCTACAACAAAAAGGAATACATGTAGATACATGGTAGAGGTTACACACCCAATTTAAGGAAAAATCACCTCCATAATCCTATCCCTCAGGATGCTAACACTTCTGTTTATCCTCTCAAACCCCACTCTGTGTGTGTTTGGCACACAAGGGATGATGCCTCGCAAAGTGTTACTATGACTTGTTATTTAATATGTTGTGGCCATATTTCCCCAGTGTTAGTTTTTAATAACACCTTTATCTTTCTTCTCTAACGTCTCTTTTAACCCACAGGTCCTTCCCCTTCATCTACTATTTTTCTTGCAATTTATGTGCAGGAGGACCTGGTCGTTTGCCGAGGGCCTGCCATACCCTCACTTGCAGACCGCACTCTCACGGTCACCATCACGGTGTTCCTCTGTCCCCCGGGCTTCTTGAAAACAGGCAGCAGAGGCTTGAACGGACTCGGGTTTGGCTTTGGGGCCAACAGGACCCGGGAGCACACGATGTCTGGCTGTCTCTCCTGTCAGCAACATCACTTTAAGTGGCCACGCACCATTCTAAAGAATGGGGTACCACACTTTTTTTTTTAAAAGGAGCAATCTCTTATTGTTGAAACATCTAGGCTGTTTCTAATCCAATCTTTTCCCCAGAACAACTAAAATTCCAATGACCTTTCCAATACATGTTTGTACAGGTTAAGTCTTGCCCTGGGTGAGAGAATGTCATGATATTGTTGAATTAAAAAATGTGAACCTGCCCTGGCTGGTGTGGCTCAGTGGATGGAGCACCAGCTTGGGGACCGAGGGGTTGCAGGTTCAATTCCCAGTCAGGGCACATGCCTGGATTGTGGGCCAGGTCCCCAGTGGGGGGTGTGCAAGAGGTAACTACACACTGATGTTTCTCTCCTTCTTTCTCCCTCCTTTCCCCCTCTCTATAAATAAATAAATAAATAAATACTCTTAAAAAAAAAGTGAACCCACTGGCAGTTTGCCCCATGGCTCAATGTAAATGCCGACCATCTCTTTTAAGAGATAATCAGGAGAGAAGTCAGGCCCCTAGCTCCGTCCTGAATCTGCTCGCTGACTGTAAGAGCTCCCAGGAGGTGCATAAGGGCTTGGGGAAGCAGTGCCGTTGTGGAAGGAAAGTTGTCACAACGCAAGTGCATTCCGTGAGGACGATGGCCACTGGTGAGGTGGCACCTGTGAATGCATTTCCCCTGGCTTTCACATACATGAGGTGTTTTGGGGTGAGAGAGTTGAAGTTACACTTGACTTCAAGAAAAATGAAAGTGGCCAAAGAGAGACACTGGATAAAAGGAACGTGGGGTCAGCCCGACCAAGACAAGGTCACCGCCAGGCTCTCTGAGATGCGCACCTCGTGCCAGGAATTCCCTAGGTAGTTGCCGTCAGTGTGAGCCACTGTGATAAGCGTCTTTATGGTGTCGATGTTCTTCTGCTTCATTTCTGTGATGCTGGAGCTGGCCGTCAGCAGGGAGAAGCGAGCAAGAGCCTGAACGTAGGCGTCCCGTTCCAGCTGTAAGGGAAGCCGAGGAGAGAACACTGAGATCCTACCCACGGCACGACCGTCTTCACATGGATGGGGCTGGGGCACCCGGCTTCTCTGACACCTTCTGCACACACACACCGACAGGCTTCACGCGCAGTAACATGCCAGTCACTCCACGCTGCTGCCCTCCTGCTACCGGAACATCCCACTGGGGCTGCGGCGCACTGCGTGTTTGAGAACTGGCCCCCTCCTTTCCAAGTGACCTCAACCTTGTGTTCCTGCCCACCCCCTCGGGAGGGAGCAGAGGAGGAATCTGTTGAATGCTAAGACTGTCACATAGATTCTGGCATCTGTAACAATCCTGCAAAGTAAGTTGACTCTTTCAGGTTTGCAAATGAGGAAACACAAGGTGTCTTAGACGGAAGGACACCTGGCCAATGGCACGTGGCTAGGGAAAGAGCAGAGCTGGGCACTGAGACCCAGTGTCTGACAGCAAAGCCCATGGTCTCAGGACCAAAGAAAATGTCCGACTGTAAAATAAATGGCAAGAGAAGACTGAGTTTTTCAAAATAAATGGGTGCAAATTCTCACCAACTTAGAAAATAAATAGGATCAACAATGTCCTGATTTTAAAACAGTTTGAGAACTGTATTTTATTTGCTAGAATTTTCCAAGATTCAAAAAGTTGACATTTTCATTTTTCATTGAACCACTTACTTCCCCTAAACAAGATTTGGAAATGAGGGAAAATATATAATAAAAACTCATTTTAAAAGAAAAAGTAATGTTTCAAGCATTAGGGCAGCCAAGTTACGTAGATCAAATCCAATCTAGCCTGAACTTTCAAAAAAGGGTTTTCAACCTTAAAACCTTTGAAATAAAGTTTTAACCCAAACCTCCTTTTTTTTTCCCTAATGAGGCAGTTGCCAGCACAAGTCTGTGGGCTGCTACTCAATGGGCACGAGGAAGGAGCTGGCTGAGACTCTCTTGGCTAATTGGAAATGCCTGATAGTTTCTAGGCTCTGCCAGATCTCAGAGAACACAGCCCACCAGCATCTCCGGAACTCTGCTGACTCACACCCACCTGCATCCCGAAGATGCAGGCGATCCGGATCGCGCACCGGATGCCCTCCAAGCACAGCGAGGCCACTTCGGTGTCGTCACAGTTCTGCAGTCCGATGCTGTAGGCGGCCAGCAGTGGTGTCCACACCAGCTACCAAGGAAGGAAGGTTTGTTATGTCAGAATGTCAGGAGAAAGAGCACTTACAAGCCACACTGCTAGTTATGAGCACAGCCAGGATGCCAAGTTCACGCTATTTTTATTTCAATCTATTCCAGTCACTCCCATAAAACAGTTCCTCCCAAGCTGTGGCCAGAGCTATCACTACAGAGATGCCATACACTACATGCACAGTTCCGAAGGAAGGAAGGCAAACCTGGGGCCAGTGAGCCACCGCTATGCGTCCCCGGGTGCACGGCAGACACCGCTGACCAATCAGAGACCCCACCGTGCGGCAGGCAGCCATCACCGACCAGAGGTTGGCGTGCAAAATAAAGCCTATGAGCAACTTGTCTTCCGTAAAGTTAGTTCACTAAAAGACTCCTAATTATTTCGATTTTACTTTTCCTCCAGTTTTCTTGTGAACTCCATAAAAAGGAATGCTCACAAAAATCTAGACTCAATCAATCAACAGGACACAGACAGCTATAAAAACATCTTCAGAGAAAAATGAATGTTATGTGTACAGAATGTGTGTTTTTTCTAGGCATTTTAAAAACAGAGAGGCCCCGGGATATGGTCTCTTACTTCCACCTACTCTCAACGGCTAAACTCACCCTGAGGTCACACTGAAACTGTCTCTTCTGCCTGAACAATTACTTGTTTAAAGTTTGATTTATTGATTAGAGAGAGGAACATACATTTATTGTTCTGCTTACTTGTGCACTCACCGGTTGATTCTTGTATGTGCCCTGATGGGGGATCAAATCTGCAACCCTGGTGTATTGGGACAACACTCTAACCAACTGAGCTACCCGGCCAGGGCCTGGTAGGGGTAATTTTTTATTCATTCAATCCTCCACCATCCCCGTATTTGTCTCCATTTTACAGATGATGAACAGAGAGACGGTGAGTCACTGACCGAGGTCACAGAGCTGCCACGTGGCAAAGGCAGGGTTCCAACCCAGACGTGCTGACTACAGCGTTCACGCTTCTGGCCGGGGCGGTGCCGGTGCATCCCCAGCACCATCAAAGGCCTTCTGGGCAGGATTCGCCTTAGCCACTATTCAGAAAGCAACCCCCAAACTCGGCCTTTCCTCTCCTCAATCTCTTCATCATTATAAACCTGCTGGTTAGCTTCCAGCTGGTTAACTCCAGAACCGGGGTTAGCCATGTCCTAGCTCCTCGGGATACTCACTTTGAACATCGGCCGAACGTGGTCCAAGTGAGTGGCACTCGTGAATGGGGCTTTGGCGTGGCTCACAGCCTCCATCAGAGCTTTGGCTGTTTTAGCCATTTGCTCCATCTCCAAATTGTACAGTAGCCGCCGCTGCTTTTCACTAGCTACACCTACAGAGAAACAAGAGATAAACAGCAGCTGATGCTCACGGGGTGCTTGCTGAGTACCAGGCACTGACTGAACAGATCTGCAATAATGAACTCACAGATCCTCCCAACCACCTCTTGAGTCTATTAGAAATACTATTACCATTTTACTGATGGGAAAATGAGGCACAGAGAGGTTAAGTAACTTATCCAGGGTCACACTGCTAATAAGCAGTAGAGCTGGGACCTGAGTGGTTCTAAAACCTAAACTCAAAACCACTACCCTCTGCTGCCTCTCAAACAAAGAAATGGATGGCTTCACAGGGGTCTTAACTAACAGGATTCTAATCATGTTGGCACAATCGTCACTGGCATTAAAGCACAGTTTTAAGAAACATTTCTGGGGAGGAATTCAGATTATTTATTTTAAATTCTCTCTTGTAACTAATCACAAACATAGCGAGAAAATGGTGATATGAGAGAACCAACATAATTGTAA